TTGGAAAAAATAGTCACACTTGGAAAAAAATTGTCCCACTTAGAAAAGTGGATCACACTTGGAAAAAAGGATTCACACTTGGAGAAAAAGTCACCCTTGAAAACGCGGTTAACACTTCGAAATAAGGGGTGCACTGGGAAAAACGGGTCACACTTGGAAAAATGGGTTACATTAGTAAAAATGAATCACATTTGAAAAAATGGGTCACACTTGGAAAAAAGGGTCACACTAGTAAAAATGGGTCACACTTGGAAAAAAGTCCCAATAATAAAAATAGATCACACTTAGTAAAATGGGTCACACGCGGGAAAATGGGTCAGTTAAAACGCTTAACCTGGTTTCTAAAATTGTCAATGAAAAATTCGCTTCTTCGAATTAACTATAGTGAAAAGGTAGGTAAACAAAGTCAAAACTACTCGATGAAAATGTAGACAAACAGTTTAAGTAAACACCTTAGCTTGGCAAAAGTCAAAGGCTCGAAGCAGGGTTTGGATTTTTCAGAATAATCTTCACATTGCCGAAACTTAAACAAAAGGAACTTTCACAAAACGCAGCTACATTGAAATTGCACGCGTCATGTTATATACGCACCGCCATGTTATAAAAGAATTGGTTCATTCTTTTAGCTGTGCGTATATCGAGTTATGGATGCACTTGGGAAGCTTGGAGAGCACTCAAGAAGATAGAGTTGTCCTTACGCTAAGCATGAACCCATTCTTTAATATAAGCACGACCGTGCGTATATGACATGACGTGTGCAATTTCAATTTAGCTGCGTTTCGTGCAAGTTCCTTTTGTTTAAGTTTCATGGAGTTTTTTTGACTTTGTTTACCTACCTTTTCATTATAGTTGATTCGAAAAAGCGAATTTTTCATTGACAATTTTAGTAACCAGGTTAAGCGCTTTCGGCCAACCGTTGCTCAACTGATGGTGGCCTGTTAGGATCCTAATGACCTTTGTTTTCCTTCGCCGTGCATCGTGAGAACTAATTGCAGTCGATCACAAATAAAACATGTTTTAGCGTCCAAGTTGTTGTCGCTATGTTATAACGAAAGAATTCCCTCATGCTTTTAGCTGTGCGTGTATCGAGTTATGGATGCACTTGGGAAGTTTAATTTGGAGAGCACTCAAGAAGCTAGTGCCTCTAGCTACTATTAGGCTTCTTTCGTGCTCTCCAAACTTCTCGCTTGCATTCATAACTTGATATACGCGCGCTAAGCATGAACCAATTCAATATGCTCACTCGATTCACTCTGGTTTTCTCCCTATTGGCTCGTTCCACGCCCACGAGCTCGGTTTTCTTTCTCGTCATATCAACACCAGTTCCGACTACTAGGAGAAAAACATTGCTTTCACAGTCATAGTATTTTTTTTTTTTTTCTTGGACAATTCTGTCCAAGGGTTGATGTCCTAAACATCAATTTTATTACCATTTGAAGTACAGCTATTTAAACGAAGATATGCTTTGCAAGTCAGTTGTTTCAACAGGAGGACAACAACGTACCATAAGAACAAAATAACCGTTTATTTCGAAAGTCGTTCTTCTCTTTATATACATCATAACGAGGCTAACGTGCACCCTAGTACCGAGGCGACCAGCTAGCCAACCTAACCTACCATACATAACAAGTTGTACTGAGGTGATGCCAGCACACTACGAAAGGATCTCAGCGAAACACTGATATTTTGTGGTACTTAAAATGAGTAAGGACTACTGGCGTAAAGGTTTCCTGTTTGAAGGAAAAGCTTTTTCCATAAATCCAAAGTGATTGAATCTTTTACACAAAACGCGTGCAGTGACAGCTGTCTGACGACCTGTCGATACGATTTTACAATCTGGTTACTTGGAAACTTGTTTCATTCGAGGCACTGTCAATGAATATTTACTTAATTCTTGTAGTACTTTTCCTGGAGTTTCGATTGGGGGTCAACGAGACCCAGACCCAATCGGCCGTAACGACGTAAAGGGACCTAAGAACTATGGGGGTTGACTATGACGTTTCTGTCCAAGTCTCTTATCCTGACCTTGAAGCAACTTTTCTTCTTTAGAGGAGCTACAGTACGTCATGGTTTGGGCATCTTGCAATTGAAATTTTTAGCCTAAATTTTTCAAGTTCGTCATTTGTAATCCGTGTTAATCTTCTCCATCCTTAACCATCCTTGTTCCTTTATGGTTTATTTTTATCTCTTTGGTGTTTTTCTATCTCAGTAAACTTCTATTTTCAGATTTCCTTTAAGTTAATTTTGTACATTGCCAAAATAACTCAAAATAACGTG